AATGACTATTAAAAGCACACTGTATGCTAAGTCCTATATGTATATAGGAACATGCATTGAAATTCACTTCCAAATCAAAGTAAGAAAACCAATTTTAAAATCAGCCCAAATTCATTTCAAAACTGACAAAAATCAATTAAAGCAAACTTCATTATATATATGGATATTTATTTTATCCAACCAAACCACTACAATTCCAGTCGTATCATATAGAGGAATACTTTTAGAACTCAGAGTTAACCCAGCCAAAACTTACACAAAATTAACACATATCACAACTTGAAAAGTCTGAGCTGCATAATAACAAAACTAATAACAAAATGTAATCAGCAAAAGGAAAATAAATGCTTTCCAGAACTGGAAGAAGGGAAAGTTGCTTGGTACTGTTGGGCAACATTGTTGAAGAGAGAGGGGTTCCTATGGCAGAGATATCCTCCTCCACTTCCTACAGGAGACAAAACTGACAAAACTATGAAAATCAGGACTGTGGCTACTGAATGGGCCTATGGATTTGCCCATGGATTGGTAAATGGACACATGATAGGCCAGCATCATGAGTAGTTGTGCAACACAATAGGAATTGTTCATTAAATCATGGTCTTTGTTTCATGAATCTTTTGATTTGGAAAGTCTATGCCTTGTCTGAGAAATAAATCTGTGACCATGCATGTGCATTGATCAGAAGCAAGCTAGACACTTGTTAAGTTTCTAGTTTCCTGTGACAACTTTTTATGAATACCTCCTAACAAATGCAAAAATATTTGTGACTCAGTCATTATTTAAGCCTTCCTCATTTATTGTAAATATGTAAAAATAAAATGTTAATATAAACTAATAGTGGTTGATTCCTTAATGATATGCTTTCATTTCTGTTTGGTCTTCTTCAAAATCATCATTTTCACATGTTTTTATTATATGCTTAAATAATTAAGCTGCCAATGCTCAAGCCCTTATATTTGTTTTCATTAAGAATTGTTTTTGAACTGGCAATGATATTGCATGCTTGTACGTCTAGCATTTGGGAGGCAGGAGGAGGAGGATCAGTTCAAGACGAGCCTGAGGTGCACTGCAAATTCTAGACAAACCTGGGCTGCAAAGGAAGACTATCTCAATTGGGGGAGGGAGGTGAAGAAGATATTTGTGGTGTGCCAAAAGATTTATACCTAATCTTACGTAAATGTTAGCTGTTAAATCTAATTATAATGATAATTCTGATTATAAGATATAGTGAAAAACTCATTGAGAAGTGAAGCAAAGTGATGTCTAAAACATGATTTTTAATCTAAACATAAACTATAACTGAAAGATAATTACCACACAGAAGTAAAGTAAAAGTGCTAGGCACTGGTGGCACATAACTATAATCCTAGCTACTAAGGAAGCTGAGATCTGAGAATCACAGTTCAAAGCCAACCCAGGCAAAAAGGTCTTCTCCAATTAACCACCAAAAAAGGCAGAAAGTGGAGCTGTGGCTCAAACAGTAGAGAGAGTACTAGCCTTGAGCACAAAAGTTCAGGGACAGCCCCTAGGCCCTGAGTTCACTCCCAGGAACAATACACACATAAAATATGCATAAATAAAAAGAAATTTATATACAGTTTTCAAGGTTATTCCATAATAAAAAGATTAAAAAATTTTTGATTGATGTCATATCATTCAACACAGTTAAGCACACAAAATTAAACAGGATATGAGAAATTCGAGAAAAGACAAAGAGGAAAGAAACTAGATCACTACAATAAAAAATTAGAAGAAAATGCACAGGTATTTAAATAAAAAAATACATTAAAAAAAGGAAAATACAAACTTGAAACATTTCCTCAAATCAAAATCTCTCCCTTGTAAACTTGTGTAAATTAATCCCACTGGAATATGAATCACAGTCTACATAATGCATCAAATCGGGCTTTAAAATATCTTATTTCATAAATGTTGTTTTCATAGCAGTTTCATCTTAATGTACTTGTTCTCCATGATATATGATATCTGATTTGTAGAAAAAAAAATTTTCTATTATGCATGACAGCAACTTGTGTCTTTAAATTTTGTATTTGAAATGAAACTTGGAAAATTCAGAAAGATTTTTCCTGAGCTCTTGAATTTCCAAATGTTAAATCATGAGTAGATTGTAAGTTTTACTCTTTTAGAGCTATGAAACTAAATGAATCACCTTCAGAAAGTTAAATTCTGAGGTATTTAAGAAGATAATGATTTTTTTTCCCTAAATGTCTGGTAAGGCTATGTTAGATGAATTTTCTCAAATTAAATTCTCAAACTAGCCTATTCATTTACCATACAGATTGATAGTCACAAAATTGTTCATAACAGCCAGGCACTGGTGGCTCATGCCTTTAATCCTAGCTACTCAGGAGACTGAGATCTGAGGATCACGCTTCAAAGCCAACCTGGGCAGGAAAGTCCATGAGACTCTTATCTCAGAAAACCGGAAGTGGTGCTGTAGCTCAAGTGGTAGAGTGCTAGCCTTGAACTGAAAAGCTAAGGGACAGCACGCAGGCCCAGAGTTCAAGCCCCATGACCGACAAAAAAAAACAGAGATTAATTGGTCATTTTGCATATATATACAAGGCACATGGTACTCTAACGAATGCAAAATCTGTGATTAATAATATTAATAATAATAGCAGCTAACATTTACTAGATTGAACATAGTACATATATTTTTTAAGATTAAGTCCTGTGTCACAGGTCCTACTAGATTGCAAGTTTTAAATGCCATGTCATGCAAACAGAGATGTTAAGGGACTTGTCTCAGATCACACAGCTACTAAGTAAATATGGAGTCAGAAGTCAAAATATTGGGAATGGAAGCCTACTTCCATTGACTTATAGGCTATATCGCCTAGCCCAATGGAATTTATAATTATAATTCCAAAGGAAGTTTATAATCACAGGTACTTGAGGTGATTGTCAGTTCCTATAAATAGTAGGAACTTAACTTTTAAAAGCCTGGCCTATTCTTAGAGCAATATATTGTGAAATAGTTTGGAGAACAGAAATGAGTAGGCTCTTAACAAATTTAGGCCCTATTATACCATATTTTCGTTTCAAATTGACCTAAGAGCATTTTTAAAATGTAATGAAATATATTAGGAAAAAAATTCAAAATACTTCTGTAGATAAGCAATTCTGAAGGTCCATGTTAATTAATAACCAATAATCTCCATAGTGAAAATAATCACTAATCTCCTGAAAATTGTTTGTAGATTTCTCAAAGTGCTTTCATAATAGTCCTATACTTCATAACCATTAACATTCCAATTTAGTAAGTAGTAGAATAATAAATAGATCAACAGATAAGCCAGTTTTATAGACAAAGTAACAACAGGTACTGTAAAGATCAATGCAAGAGTAATTCCAAAGAGTAAAGTCCTTTTCTTTCATCCACAGGGAGGAGCTCTCCTTCAAAGGCCAATGGCTTCTCCTTAGCACCTGAGTTCCAGTTCTACTGAATATTAGAGAGATATGAAAGCTAAATGTCCCTCACATACAAACATACAAATATAAGGGCAGATTTCTAATACACGTGACTTTTCTGATACTTTAACATGCTGATTCATTAGGAAAGTATGAGTCAAGTAATGTCCCCTGGGAGAGCTGCACCTTTTCATTCATTCACACAAGGGTAATAATAGGAACAAAGCAGATGCAGTATCCAAAGAGTAATTCAAATCTGAAGAGCTACATTTAATTGCAGTTGCCTAAGACTTTGAATTTTAACTCTTATTTTAAAAAAATCTAGTCAAAGGAAGTTTGCAAGCTTTTTTACAGCTCATCACATGCAAGGTAGAATATGGGTATAATTTATTAAATGTCACTTGGATAGAATATCCATGCTTGTACCCACAGCTTTGCATTTCCATAATTCTCACCTCTTTTTTTGTTTTACAATTTGTAGCTCATAGTATGCACACATTTTTAAGGTAAGTTTCTCAATAGATTTGCTTTCATTCTTATGAAGAACAACGGGATTGTCTCAAATACTTGTTAAGATTTATTTACTCAGTATCCCAACAATAAAAAAATTGTAAGTACATAATTCCGAACTCCTCTCCCGATTTTTTTCCCCCAAAATTCCGCCAACAAACCTTTTCTCACCACCCAGCCACATACAAGCCTGACACTGGAGACAAGTTTCCCACAGGAATGAAGAAGAGAAAATAAAGGAACAAACTTTTAAGACTTGATCTATAATAATTTCATAATTTATCTTTTTTTCAGAAAAAAAAAAGAGTCAAAGAAATCATTTCACCACACCACGTTTAGACTTGGGGAGTCTGACTGAGTTGCCAGTCGATTTTGCTCTCTATTCAAACAGCTTATGGTTTTACCGCTTCTTAACGTGATTTTATCCTACAAAATCACAATGATGAATGATAGTGCATCTTAAAAAAAAATAAAGAAGCCTTCCTCCTTCCCCCAAACTCTTTCCAGATTCGCTCCCTCCTCCTTCGTGGGCACGTGACCTTCCAAAGATCCGCTGGACACCCTTCCTACCTGAAAAAAAGTTTGGCGAGGACGCTGGCCTTTTCCAGAGGAGACTTCTGCATGGTCTCTAAAGGCACGAGGTCCCCGCGGGGCAGGCCGGGCGCGCTCCCAGTGCCAAAACGCCCTGCTCCTGCCGGTGCCTGCCGCGCACCCTTTTTTCTCTGACCTGCTGTGATGTCATGTGCTTCCCACCCTCCCCCCCACCCACCCCCATCCCACACACCTCCCCTTTCCCCGGGCTCCTTCCCCGCCTCCACTTGCCCAGGTTAAAAGCCAAACGGCTGCTAGCCCGGCCCCAAATTTGCTCCAGCCGCTTTCTCCACTCTGCTGCGCACCCCGCCCGCGCCCCGCGCGCGCCCCTTCCTCCTAGCGCCCCTTCCTCCTAGCCTCCCGCCTCGGCCTTTCCCAGCCTACACTCCCACCTTCCTCCCTCCGTCCTTCCCTCCCTTCCTGTTCCGCGCGCTCCTTCCAGCTCCACGACCCTAAGGTCCAACCCGGGACCAGCCCGCAGGCAGGGCACAGTCCCCGTGCAGCCGCCTTCGAGTCTCCCCTGGCCGAGACCGAAGCTCCGGGACCCCAGGCGCCCGGCCCGGAGCTGACCCAACCCCAGCAGCCTCCCCGACCCTCCCGCAGCACCAGATTTCACGGGACCCACCACCAGCTGCCTCCAGCTTCCCTGATCCTCCTCCTCCTCCTCCTTCTCCTCCTCCTTTCTTCTGAGATCCTAACCCGGTTCCTGTTACGTCTGCAGGTGCATTTTTTGTAAGAAGGAAAGGAAAGTATGTGTCCCGTGTATTAAAAATACAGCAGCAGAGAGCTGGAAGTTCCACCGCAGGTCTGAGGTGAGCCTCAAAGCCTCCTTAGCATGTCAGAGGGAAAAGCCAAGTTTGGCTCAATTCCGACATAGGTGAGCTCCAAGTGTGGCACAGACATCTTAGGGCACACACACACACACACACACACACACACACACACACCTAGAAGGATGCAAGAAACCTTACTGTTTTGCCCATTTCTCCCCTAAAATCACTAGCATATTTCATTCAGCTTGTGTGTTTTAGGTGTGTGTGTGTGTCTGTCTGCCTGCCTGCCTGCCTGCCTGTCTGTGATTGTGTGTGTGTGTGTGTGTGTGTGTGTGTGTTAGAGGTAATGACAAGTAGACAGGATGTAAACTAACCCGCCCTCCTATGGATTCCTAGTCTTGCTCAGCAAAACATCTTGACTAATAATCTGAAAGGAATCCAAACTCTTTGAAGACAAGGTATCCTGGTCTCTTTGACCTGGCCCAGAACAACGCAGCGGTCTTGTACTCTCAGAGGGCATGGAGACTAGCCCAGAGCTGGGCACCTTCCTTCCTAGTTTTTGGTGGGAAGATTTTTGTGTCCAACTGCTGAACTGTAAAGAGCTAAAGAAGCCTTTCACTCCTGAGCTCCGTGGTCCAAAAGCAAGTGTGCACTGAATTTGAATTGAAAAATTAAAGCACAAGAAACATTCATTGTTACTTCAATATTGAAAGGCAAAAAAGACCATTTGTGACATATCTTATTCACAGTTAAAGGAAGAGAAAAGAGATAAACCAGATGGCATAAAGTTAGACACCAGGAAAAAGCTTTAGTTTTTCTAACTTATGATCCATTGTTGTACATCCTGTACCACATTTGCCTCTCTCTAGTATGAAAAAAACTGAGTCCTCACTATTGACTTTTCCCAGGTGTGTAATTAAATTCCCTCCATTCACTCCCTACCCTGCTCTGTCATTTGCTTTATAACTGCTAGGGTGAGCTATCAAATACAGTACATATATTTTGAAATACATATGTAATCAGTTCCTCTTTGTTATCAATCCCTTAGTCAAGGGATTAAGAACTAAGTTCCAAAGATCACAGAAGTTAACCAAAGGGATATGAGCTCCAGGAGACCCCAAGTATTTGTCAGTCAACTTTCTTCCTCTGGAAAGAGAAAATAAAGCAGTGACTTCAATGCTCCTACGTTCCTACGCATCATTCTTAGAAATCTTATAACAATAATGTTTAGTATGTGTTCATTATCCCCAGTTTTTAGTGTTAAAGAAGATAAGTCAATGCCTGTAATTGTTAAACTATGATTCAAACTCAGGTCCAATTCCAAATCACTATTCCCATCAATGTGTAGTATTATTTAAAATGAATCATCTATCTTGAGTTTTTTTTGGGGGGGGGGAAGAGAGGGGAGTGGAATAACAAAACAAGGACACAAGATAACCCACTGTAAAAATGATACCTATAAGACACTATATTGGAAATGAACTGTACAACTTGGGGCAAGGGAAGGAGTGAGGGAGGTGGGGGAAGGAAGGGATAGTGAGAAAACAACAAGGGAGGAGTTAAGAATGCTTGACAAGAAATGTACTCATTGCCTTACTGATATAACTGTAAGCCCTCTCTACAGCATCTCACAATAAAATTGTAAAAATGAAATAATCCTTTGTACATACATATACTGTCACACCAGCCCAGTCTTTCTCCCTAAGTTAGTTCAGCAATGAGACTGAGAAAGCAGAAATCCACAAACCAACTAACTAATGTAGTTTATTCTAAATAAGTGATGCAAGCTATAATATTCTCTTGTAAGGGTGCACATGCATATGTGCATAAGAAGATACTAGACTGTTTTTTGTTATCATAACCCGTTACTGTCCAAATTTGTTTTGGCAGAAACCAAAGCTTTGTCTTTTAGAACGTGAATATAATTAGCAGAGATGTTCAAATTAATTAGTTGAGATTGAGATATGATATTCAGGTTTATATCTAGGTACATACCTAAAGTGGGAAATCACCTTCCCCCATAAATACATTCAAAGATATAGGTCAAATCGGAAAACTTAAACCTAAATCTTAACAGAAGTTAAAGGAAGATAGTAATAAGAACCAGTGACACTTGTTTCTCTAGACTACTCAAATGCCAGCATATATCACTTTATAATATTGCAATCATTTACACTTGTTGGGTATTTGCCATACATGCCATCTACAATGACAACTGTACAGCATGTTTCACCTCTTTCAATTCTTATCACACCTTTGTGGAACAGGTAAGGTTTTTATTATTTAGCTACTGCAGAGGAAGTTTCTGAGGTATAAAAAGTTTATTAATTTTTCCAAGTAAACTGCCTGGTTAATAATAATAGAGGTGAATGGTGATATAAGTCAGTACCTGCCTAGCAAACACAAGGCCCTAAGTTTCAACCTGCATAGTCTGTTTCTTGAGCCCAAACACTTTATGACTACATGTTCTTCTACAAAATTTCCTAATGCTTTAGGCTAAACTGAATGTAAATATTAAAGAGAGAGTGGCATCATTTTTTTAGTTTTTTATTGTGAAAATACTGTACAGAGGGGTTACAATTACATGAGCAAGGTAATGAGTACATTTCTTATCAAGAATTGTTGCCTCCTCCTTTGTTTCCCCTTCCCATCTCACCCGCACCTCCCCACCCCCTGACCCCGCACAGCCAAAGTTGTAAAGTTCGTTTTTCAACATATTGACTTGTACATCTCATTGTTGCAATGGGTCCACCTGTATCCCTATTTAAACGATTTGTTTTGCCCTCCACAAATTATACCAACATCAAATACAATGAAAGCAGGGGTTATACCATGGGGGAGGGACATACAAAGCAACAAAGAAATCATCTTATAAATACGTTAGAAAAGATAGCAAGAAAGAAAAAAACATTTGAATACTTATCTTGGGGTTCATTTCACCTAACATCAACTTATCTGACCTTTTCTGCTTTTCTCAGACATATACTAGTTATTGCAAATAAGGGAAACCATGGGACCTATGTTTCTTTGGGTCTGGCTTACTTCACTTAATATAATTTTTTCCAAGTCTTTCCATTTCCTAACAAATGGAGCAATGTCATTCTTTCTGATGGAGGCGTAGAATTCCATTGGGTGTATATACCACATTTTGTAGATCCATTCATCTACTGAGGGGCATCTGGGTTGGTTCTATATCTTAGCTATGGTAAATAATGCTGGTAGCTTTAGTATGGTCTTGTTTGTGATCATGTGGGTAAATGCCTGAAAGTGGGATTGCTGGGTCATAGGGGAGCTAGCTCTATGTGGAGTTTTTGAGGAACCTCCATACTACTTTCCAAAGTGGTTGAACAAGTTTACATTCCCACCAACAATGCAATAGGGTTCCCTTCTGTTGTGTGGCATCATTTTAATGGTATATTACAAAGAAGGAAGAGGGGGAGGAAGGGGAGGGTAAGGACAAGAATAGGGAGAAAGGATGGAGTAGAAGAAGGAAAGGAGTAATGTGAAGGTGGCAAGAAAAGAGGCCGAGGAGCAAAAGGAGGAAGAAAGGAAGGCAACATTTATTCAGCATCTTCTATGTGCTCAGCAATAGTCCGGGTGCTTCCTACAAATGTTCTCAGTATAAGAAAGATTATGAGAGGACCATTTTGTTGCTTCTCCTGACAGACAGGGTGCTAAGAGTAAATTGGCACTATACTTTCTTCATCATATTCAACATATCTTCAATATGTTGCTCGTAATGTTTCCCAAGCAAGCTTTAGTAGGGGCAAATATAGAGAAAATTCATCAAAAGAGAAAAGGCAAGACATTGCTAGTTTTACTGCACAGACTGACTCCAATGTTAAATTTATCCAAAGGAGAGGGATAGAAGCACTGTGGCTCTTCTGCAGTGTTCCATAATGATATCCCAGAATGCAAATGCATGCCACAGTCTTACAACAACGCTTCAGGACCAGAAAGAGATGTTCTGGGACATAAGTCTCTTGCTCATCTAGTTTCACTGTTTCCATTGTATTTCATCTAAATTCTGTTTGAAACACATATGCACAAATACATACACAACTTTCTCCTGTCACCTTTGTGGAGGCAAAAATAATGCTTTCTGTTTTCTTTTAACTCACTTGTTATTTAGTAATATAGTATACTTAATGAAGCAACCATTCTCTCTTGGGGTTGCTGATACAATAGTTGAAATGTTATCCTAAAAAGTAAGTCTGAAGATGCCTAAGAGCAATAGTAGCTATTAATGTTTTTGCAAATGAGAGCTTGGTGAGATATACAGTACAGAATAAGGTAATGTTTCAAAATTCAGAATCTACTTGTGGTCCCTGAGTTCTCTCTAGAGATGAGTTCTCTCTAGAAAGAAATTGGGTTCTATGACAATAAGAAACTGTTTCGGACTCTAAGGTGCCAGGAGCTGGCAACATGTGAGCAAAGGCTCCTGGCCATTGACTCCAACCTTCAGGCTGCAAGCACTTGCCCTTTTATTTGAGGAAGTGTTTTTCTCAGCTTCTGGGCCTAGGGACTTATCTGGGGGATTGTTTGAAATAGATTAAGAAAGGATGCATACTGTCTGCACTTTCTGGCGCAGCGGGTCCTAGAACAATGTGATGCAAGCATTTGACAAATACAGAATGTGTATAGAACTAAGGATGTTGCTGGAATTAACAGAGCTGTGCCTTCAGCCTTCTCTCCATCTCCTTCATCAATCCCCTTGCCCCTTGGGAGCCCCTGTTCGTGCTGCCTGCAGCTGGACCCCAGCAACTGGTGAGCACAGAAGCAATCAGGTAAGGGGACCACCAAGCACACTACCAGAAAAGGAAAGGAGACTTGCATGAGGGTGAAACAGAGCAAAGAAAGGTAACTGTTTCTGACAGCCTTCTTGGTCCTTGTGAGTCAAAAGGGCTGCAACATTAGTTCAAAGGGGCTAGAGGAATTTTTTGAGGTTGTCGAGGATCTCTGTCCCTGGTTTCCTGAAGAGGGAATGGTGGAATTGGCTATATGGCAAAAGGTGGGTCAGGAATTTTAAAAATCAGATAAAAATCAGAGGAAAACATGCTATTCTCCCTCAGACATTTTCTGTTTGGAATATGATTCAAGACAGTCTTGATCCCAATCACCATATTGTTTCTATAAAATCCTTGTCTGAGGGGAAGAATAAAGAGACCCTCCTTTGTACATCAGATGTGAAGGGAGAGGGCTGTCAGTCCTAGTGTTAGAAACACTGAAAGTCTGTATCAGATATTCAACATTCTCTGTAAAGAAGACAAAGACCCTCCAAGGCCATGGCCACCCCCTCTGCCTGGCCCTGTGGGAGCTACCTTCCCTGTGATAAAAGGGCAAGGTAATTACACCTGCTTTTAAGTCAGCCTCCTCCACCCACATCTGCAGTCCAAAAGGCTATACTGACTGTTAAGGAGTGGGGGGAGGATACTGGGGATTTCCAACTTTTTCCTGTCTTACAAGATGGAGGCAAACAGCAGAGAGGGTGTATTTGGAGGGAGATCTTCCTCTGGTTGCCATTCCTAGAGGGGTCTAGGGGCCTTTGCCACCACAGAAGGTTTGGTGTTGAGCAGCTCCAGCTGAACTATAAAAGGGCTGATTGTTCACCATGGTGTCATTGATAATTATTATACAGGAGAGATTAAAATCATGGCTGGGTTGAAAAAAGGAACCTTGCTTGTTCCTGCTCATACTTCCATTGCTCAATTGATTTTGCTTCCTTTAGTTCCTCTTTCTAATAAATCTCATCAACCTAACTGGGGAAATAGAGGCTCTGGCACCACAGATAAGGTCTTCTGGCTTCAGAGAATTGGGCAAGAGTGAGCTGAGTTAGAATTTTACATAGAAGGGAAGCTTTTTACAGGCTTGACACTGGAGCTGATGTTTCTGTTATATCTTGCCTATACTAGCCCCCTCCTGGCCAAAAGAAGATAGCCTCATCCTGCTGCAGAGTATAGGCATGTCCAAAGTTACTCAAAAAGTTCTGCCATCCGGTGGTGGCTGACCAAGGAAGGCTATTCGGGCGTCTTTTAACCTTTTGTTTTGCCTGATCTTCCAGTAAATCTGTGGGGCCGTGATGTGTTTTCTCAGATGGGTGCTTACATTCACAGTCCCAGCCCAGTTGTTACTCAACAAATGCTTAATCAAGGGTATGATGGAATGTCAGGTCTGAGACCACAAGGGAAAGGAAGGTTAAAACCTTACCAGCCTGTTGCAAACCTAAACAGACAGGGCTTGGGTTTTTCACAGGGCCACCGATAACGGTAGCTTTACATGCAGAACCTACACATGGAAGACCTCAACACCCATATGGGTAGATCAGTGGTCCTTGCCCAAGGAAAACCTGATGCTGCCGAGACTTTGTTCATGAGCAATTGTTACAAGGCCATAAACCTTCCACTAGTTCCTGGAATACCTCTATCTTTCTTATTAAAAAGAAATCAGGGAAATGGAGACTTCTTCGGGACTTTTGAGAGGTTAATAAAGCTATGTTCCCTAGGGGTGGCTTGAAACTTGGCCTGCCCTCACCAACAGCTGTTCCCTTATCTTTTTCCCTATTGGTAACAGATTTAAAGGACTGCTTTTTTTTTTTTTTTTTTTTTTACCATACCTCTGTATCCAGGGGATGGGGAAAAATCGCTTTTTCTGTTCCCAGCATTCATATGATCAAAACTTATGACAAATATGAATGGACAGTGCTGCCCCAGAAAATGGCCAACAGCCCCACACTATGCTAACTCTATGTGAACAAGGCCATACAGCCCATATGTAAAAAGTACCCCTCTGCCTATATAATCCATATGGACAATATCTTGATTGGAGCATCAGAGGAGAAACAGGTTAATCTTACGTTTTAGGATATGCAACAGTCTTTGCGGCTGTACAACCTGATTGTAGCCCCTAAAAATGTTGAGACAACATCCTCTTTCATATCTAGGGTATCACATCTCCCAAAGAAAGGTCACCCCAAAAAAACTAAAGGTAAGGACAGAGAAATTGCAAACACAATGATTTTCAAAAGTTATTGGGGGACATCAATTGGATTCACCCTTCACTGCAAATTACAACCTCTTTTACAGATTTTTCAGGGTGACTCTAACCCAGCCTCCCCAAGAGTTCTTACACCTAAAGCAGTTAACGCCTTAAAAGTTATTAAATGTGCAATTAGTGAGGCCTCACTTGTGTGCATAGATTATTCCCAACCCATTGTTTTTTATGTATGTATGTATGTATGTTTGTTTGTTTGTATGTATGTATGTCATGGGGCTTGAACTCTGGGCCTGTGCACTGTCTCTCAGCTCTTCAGCTCAAGGCTAGCACTCTACCACCTGAGCCACAGCACCACTTCCGGGTTTCTATTGGTTTTATTGGAGACAAGAGTCTCATGGACTTTCTTGCCCGGGTACTCAGACTCCTGCGTACCCAGGATTATAGGCGTGAGCTACCAGCGCCCAGCTGTTTCATATATTTTAAATCATTGCAAATTCCTGATTGCTGTCCTTTGGCAGGATGTTCCCATTAGATGAATATTTTTGGCCTACCATTTCATGAGTGTTATTAACCCTTTAATTTCCTTATTTATTTCTAAAGGACACAGGCTTTGTATTCAATTGACTGGGTGTGAACCTGATGCCTTTGGCCTGGCTCAGGCCTAGGACTGTGTATGACAGCCTGTTACAGACCTCCTTGGAATGGCAAATTGCTATGGTCAATTTTCCTGGGCAGGTACTTTTTCACTTGCCTGCATTACTACATTTTGCTGATGATCGTTGTATTGCCGCCTGCTCCTTCATTTATTCTAAGCCTATTGCTAATGATCCCAATATGTTTATTGATGGGTCTAAGAATGGAAAGGTGGGGCTCCTGTTGTAATCCCCACATCATACTTCCACCAGACAAGTACAATATAATAGCACTTCTGCACAAAGGGTGGAGCTGTTTGCTGCCAATTTGGCTTTATGACAGTTCCCTTTTGCTATAAATTTCACTCAGATAGCCAGTATGTTGTTTCTGTTTTACTGTGCATTCAGGATGCCATTATTCTTACCTCAGATAAGGAACTGCTGCATCTTTTTACTACCCTCCAGCAGCAATTGTTGCAATGCACAGCTCATGTATTTATTTGCCATATGCTTGACCAGTCTCTTCTACCTGGACCTTTAACATACGGCAATGCCCTTGCTGATGAGTTAACTTGGCTTTTTATGCTTATTCAATCCCCCGTGGATGCTGCACTTGATGCCCTTCAAAAATTTCATCAAAATGCAGCTGCCCTTTGTAAGCAGTTTAGATTAACTCACAAACAAGCCCATGCAATAGTGCCCAGTGTCCACTTGCTCATGCTGCCCCACCATCGTGGTTCACCCCTGGGGGTCTTCTGCCTGGGCAAATATGGCAAATGGATGCGACTCATGTTCCCTCTTTTGGCAGCTTGTCTTATGTTCATGTTTCTGTAGATACTCAGTCTGGATTGCTTTTTGCCTCCTGTCACACAGGAAAGGATTATAGAAATGTTACTGCACATTTATTTGCGGTTATTGCCTTTATGAATTAGCCCCAACAAATTGAGACTGATCGTGATCCAGCTTATATTTCTCAAGCCTTTAAAACATTGTGCTCACAACTACATCTTACTCTTACCACAGGTATCCCCTATAATCCACAAGGACAGGGGATTGTGGAGTGAGCCCATACTATTTTTAAAAAATCAAATTCAAAAAATAGAAAAGGGAAATGAGCTACCAGGAAGATCTTACCCATGCCATTATATCTTTATCCATTTTTGTTTAAAACTTTTTAAATGTCTCAGAGGATGGCTTCACTGCTGCACAGCACCACTGAGAGAGAGCTCCATGCCCACGGCAGCCTTGGGATGGAAGGACCCTTTGACAGGAGTCTGGAATGGTCCCAAACCCCTGCTGGGGTCAAGGGTACGTTTGTGTTTTCCCACAGGATGTGGAGTTGCCAAAGTGTATCCCAGACCGGCTAGTCTACCATGCTGAGACTACGTTGGTCATTTCAGAGAATGAAGTCAAAGGAGCACGTGCCTGGAACCCACAGCCAGAGGGCCCCACTCCCAACATGGGGAAATAAAGGCCCTACATTCTAAGAGTCAAGAGATGGTAAAAGGGAAAGTAAGGATACTCATACCTGAAACCCCATCTGTGGCTATGCTAGCATTAATAACCTGTGCCTAAGTTTGAGCTGAGGTACACTGGGCCTACTTGCCTGACCCCGCTCTTGCCTGCCCAGTGTCCTGGGAAGAGCCATCCATGAGAGTGTATACTACTGCCGCAGGGCTCATTGTGGGAGAGAGTGCTAGATTTCTGGAGCCATATTCTAGACCTATAGAACAGACTGGGCTGTCTGCTAGCCCACCTATTTGTTTATCCATGGATAGCATCCATGGATGTGTTAGTGTGGTAAAATGTACACATATGGTAAGGTATTCAGGGACAGATTATGGCTCTGGGTGTATGGATGAGAAAACATGGAGCTTATGCATAAGACTTATAGAACTGCTTTGGTAAGAGATAACATGTGCCCCACTTGGATTCCACTATGCCAGGAGGGTCCCTGCAGCCTCTGATGATCAACCACCATGGAGGCCCTGTGGATTTGATATCTTGTCTAGTGTTCCAGCAGTGGGAGTTCCCCACTACACATTGCAGGGCTGGTCTCAGAGGAGCGATGTGACCAATGGTGTCTTGCCAGCCACCATCTTGGCCAGCCCACATGGACAAGCTCACCCTGACATCTGGAGACTGAATGTTGCAGTAAGGCCCACTTGGACTACTGCCTCACACCTTCTCATACTTCTGCTCCAGAGACCTATCCCGCTCTGTGGTTTTGTATCATTTACTGTGCAAGCTTATGTTATGCATCCATTCATCCTGGTGGTTTGGCAGGGTGTGGTTATTAAGGATGGTGAGATATCTCTTGCCTCTTGCAGGAATAACTGTGCTCTTACTAACTGCATAAGTAATCCGGGACATTTTGGAGCACGTACAGTGATTGTTACTATGCAACTCCCTTATCTTATGTTGCCTATTAAGTTGATGGAACCATGGTATAATGATTTGAGGCTTCAATTTGCTATTGAGGTTCAAAAAGCTCTTAGCTGCTCTTGCAGATTTTTGGAAATATTGGTTGCCAGCATTATTACTACCATAAATCTTATTGCCAGTGCTACTGCTTCTGCCATGGCCCTTACCCAAACCATACATACAGCACAACTTTGGCTCCAAATATTTCTAGTGCCCTTGGGACGCAGGTGCAAGTAGATAAAAAGGTTGTGGAGTGTCTAAATGCTTTGGGAACAGCCATGATGTATGTTAATAATAATGTAAAATTGCTAAAGACAGTTAAAAATGACATGTCATGCTAATGAACAGTACATTTATGTTACTCCTCTTAAATGTGATGGAAATGTGACTTGGACCAATATCCAGTGACATATTCAAGAAATTTGGTCCCATGATAATTTGATAGTATGCAGCTTCAGGGGCAGATACATTATATTAGCCACTCCACCCTAAAGGTAGCAACCCCAAAGACTTGGCTGCATCAGTACTTCATTCCTTGCAGGGATTCAATCCAAGAAATGTGTTACAGCACCCTTTTAGTATTTGGGGGGCATTTTGCTATTTGTTGTTTTGGTGTTCCTTCCTTTGCCATTCTTCCTGAGATGTATGGCCCACTCCTTTGCCCAGGTCCAGGCTGATATATACTTGGTCAATTTAAAAAATCAAAAAGGGAGAGATGGGGCTGGGAAGGTGGCTCAGTGGTAGGGCGCTTGCCTTGCATGCCTGAGGCCCTAGGTTCGATTCCTCAGCACCACATAAGCAAAAAGAAAAAAAACGCCAGAAGTGGTGCTGTGGCTCAAGTGGTAGAGCGCTAGCCTTGAGCTGAAGAGCTGAGGGACAGTGCCCAGGCCCAGAGTTCAGGCCCCAAGACCGGACCCAAAAAAAAGGGGGGGGGAAGAGATGTTGCAGACCCTAAGGTGCCAGGAAATGGCAATGTGTGAGCAAAGGCTCCCGGCCATTGACTCCAACCCTCTGAGATGCAAGTCTTTGCCCTTTTATTTGAGGAAGTGTTTTTTGCAGCTTCTGGACCTGGGGGATTATCTGAGGTAGTATGGGAGACAAAGATTGAAAGAGAAAGAGAAAGGATGGATACTGACTGCACTTGTTGGTGTAGTGGATCCTAGAACAATATGATGCAAATATTTGACAACTATAGAAAGCATATTTAGCTGAGGCTTTTGCTGGAATAAAGAGTGTTGTGCCTTTAGCCTTCTCTGCATCTCCTTCATCAATCCTTTTGCCCCTTGGGCACCCCTGTTTGTGCTGCAGCTGGACTGCAGCAAGGAACTAGGATTAAAATCCTTGGACCACCACTTACTCATCTTTGTGATCTTAAATTACTTAACCTCAAAGGGTCTTACTTTCTTTCCCTTTTCTGAAGATGAAGTTAATAGTACTCACCATGTAGGATTATTGAGTTGATTAGGAAAGGTTTGCTCTACCTTGCTACTATTGACAGGAGGTTGAATGGCTGTTGGATGGGGCAGGGGGTTAGGGAATGCCATGTACATTATAGGACATTTTTTTAAAGTAGCATTCTAACAGCTTCTACTTGAAAAGTTCTAATGGAATGTCTCCATTCCCAGTCATATCCCAATGTTGATGACAGTCAACATTGTCTTCAAACACTGTTAAATATCCTGAGAAGAGAGGGTAAAAATTTTTCCTAGTGAGAGAACCACTGGATGAAATCAAGTCAACATGATACACATAAGGAATTTAGAACCCAGTAGCTACTCAATGGATGATAGAAATCATTATTACATATCACAAATCAGAAATTAGTATAATAGTGTAAAATAAAATATTACAGAACATGGAACTCCCTGAAGATTGTCAAAATTCTTAAGGACACTGTGTTATCTCTTTGCTTCTGAAGTTATTTGCGTCTACAGAATTACAAGAAAAGAGGCAAATCAAGTATTCACATAACTGTGAGATGCTTTTGATTATTCAGGTACTTAAGAGATGAAACTATGTACTTTAAATAATTGAAATGTACTCGTTCCTTTTGCACTGAAATGATATTTGTAAGTTCTCTTTCTTGGGTCATCTCAATTCCAGTTCACCAGCATTTATATGTTTGTGGCAAAAGGCTCCTGATGGAATTTGTCACCATGGTGCATCTTCTGAAGCTTGGAATGAGTTCCTCACAAAAAAAAATCTCAAAGATATTCAAGCTGCATATAGTAGGAACTGGAATAACTTATAAACAGTATTCAGAATATATCATTGTTATGAATACAAAGGCTAACAAATTTTGGATTTCCTAAACCTATGTTCATAAAATGTTCTATTATATTGGTTATCTTCTTATTTTCCAACTGAAGTTTTCTTTTGTGGAAACAAAGGATTTCCAAACTTTAAATTAAATCCTTATCCATATCATACTATCTATAGTACTAAAATAGTGGTTTATAAATTTGAACTCCAGATGAGTTCTGTGTTAATTTATATACTACTTAGAAATTTTACATTTTACAAAGCAGGGGAACATGGCAAATAGAGCAGTGGTTTATTTACTCGTGTATAACCATTTCCCACATGCAAGTTCATCTGGAAAGAAAAAGAAAAATACCCTCTCTCTACCATCATCTTTCCACCATCCTTTACGGAAGAGAGTGCCATTGATAGATTCACAGAATTATTACTGAATTGCATCATGGATAATATCTTCACCTATACTTTTTAAAAATGATTTTATGGTT